GTAATCATGATAAAGGATATACTTATACTTAAATTGAAGAGGCAAGGGATGATTCTGACCTAGGCTTGGGCGGTATTACGGTAATATCGTATACCGCGGGATCTAAAAATAGCAACAGTATCAGTTTCAATATCGTCATACCGTCAGAAAAAAAAACAATGCACTTAAATAGGAGACAAGGAATCCTTGTCTCCTATATAAATGCAATGTTTTAAATACAATTTATTTAATGGCTAAAATGCTTATATCTGGTTCTCATGACGTGACAGTGGTGATGAGAGAGTGGGGGAGAGAGGGCAAAGATTGCAAGTTGCACCGAGTGACTTGGTCTCGAAGAACACGACTTCTGCAGTTTGGCAGGGATGGGCATTTCAAGCAAAAATAATATTTTAAAGATTGCCTAGTATTATTCGATTATTATTTGAAAATTGTGCCCCATCACATGCACGCACACATGCATTTAGTCTACAGCGGGCGGGACCGTGTAACGCTTAAATATAAGCTAGGTTTGAAAAAAAAAAAACGTATTCCTTTCATATTTTTTAATAATATGATGTTTTTCTATGTATGTTGATTTTATGAAAAGGGAACTTCATGAGATGAATAAGATAAGATCATAAAATGCGCAATATCGGAAAACATTTGGAATGGGTCAGTCAGACATGATTATGACCACTTATTACGTTTTGTTTTGTAGAAATCCTTTCTTTAAAACGAATTTCGTTTTGAATAAATTGCATCTTCATTTTAATTTTTTTTTCATCAACGAATTGCCTGGATTAATTAATAAAAAGCAAATATAGTGATCAGGACACGCGCCGGCGCGTGACTGGAGCGCGACTCATATACATGAACTGAACCTCGCATATAAGAAACAAGATCTGAGAAGTGTAGCCTATATAGTAAGCTCGAAATGTCTACTTTTAAACAAAACAAACAATCTAAAAGAAATTGGCTGCTCTCTGCTTATGTTTAGGCTAATTCATATGAAGTGTGCATTACTCTTTATTCGCGTTCACTACCGCAAAGATGCTAGTTTGCATCGTCAATGCAATCTTTATCTTTGCATCAACTGACAAAACACGTTGGGTCAGTCAGACATGATGACCACTTATTACGTTTTGTTTTGTACAAAGCCTTTCTTTAAAACGAATTTCGTTTTGAATAAATTGCATCTTCGTTTATTTTTTTTCATCAACGAATTGCCTGGATTAATAAATAAAAAGCAAAGATAGTAATCAGGACACGCGCCGACGCGTGACGTGATTCATACATGAACTGAAACTCGACATATAAGATAGGCCTACATGTCTTAATGATCTGAGAAATGTATAGTAAGCTTGAAATGTCTATAGCCTACTTTTAAACAAAACAATTACAAGCTAAAAGAAATGGGCTGCTCTCCGCTATAGGCTTATTCATATGAAGTGTGCATTAAGCTACTCTTTATTCGTGTTCACTACCGTGAAGATGCCAGTTTGCATCGTCAATGCAATCTTTATCTTTGCAGCAACTGACATAGAAAACACTAGTTTATTAATAAATAATTTTATCTCGGCTCCACTCGGCTCGCGTCGCCGAGTGCACAGAGCTCGTGGCGCGTGATCTTCAGAAATGCGCTCCCCTCTCTAGAGGAAATATCACCACTCTGCTCACATTCTCTGGTGTGAGACAATGTGCTTCTCCTGTTTTCTAATAGTTGATTGACAGCTTTTAGATGCATTATTGGAACCGACACTCTCTGGTTGAACGTGTCATCATGTGTGATGCCGTCTGAGCCTTGTCTCGTAATTTTTAATTAGTCACGCGGTAATACCGTATACCGCGGTAAAATAGGGAGGAGGTTTGACGGTATGAAAATTTGGATACCGCCCATGCCTATTCTGACCCCAACCCTTCAAGTGTTGGACTGGTCAGTTGTTTTAACTATTCAATAAGTCCCTGTAAAGGCAATTCTACAAAAATGTTCTAAACACATTATAAATGTTACATATGTATTGCTAAAACATATTACAAAGGCTGTGAACTGTGAAGTACTGGAAATGTGGAGTTAGACCGTTAAACAGTTTTTCACCATTGCAATTTTACGGATTGTTTGGGCGGGGCTAAAACAGGGTTCGATGACGCACTGGAGCCCATGAGCTCCTGGAGACGCCCACATTTGATGACGCACAGAGTCTGATCTCTCCCCTAACACACAATAACACTCCCCGAGCACATTCGCATTCACCGCTCAATCACGAGTGACTTGTCAGTACAGCTGAGCCTACAGTTTTCTACCTAGCTATGCCTTTGACACGGACATGCATAGGCTACCTGGATGCGATCATGTACAAAACAGATCGGTTTCTTCATTTAAATTCCCTAAAAACTATCACATCAAGAAGAGGTTTTTAGAGAGCCAACCTTGATGATGAAGAGCTGAGGATCACCGCCAACACCCGCCTCTGTAGTGATCATTTTACACTGGATAGTTTTATATACTTTCCTCAGAGACAACTGTGATTCACTGATTATCCACTGTTAATGGTGAACGGGGCCAAAACGACTATCTCCCGCCTCAGTGTTCATCCTCCCGTCGCGAAAGCAGTTTCACCTGCGAAAGCAGATAACTGCTCATTTTTTCAAGATGTTGATAGCTTATTTTATGTACTTGCTGGGTTTTTTTATCATTCAAATTTGGCTAGGTGGCTAATAACAATTTTTCTGTGGTGTGACAAATTTTGACTTTACAGTGACTTTGAAGTGAAAGGTTAAAATGAGTTGTTTGTGTATCGGACATGTCATTAGTGGACGTCCAGCCACGGCACGCTTGTGTGATTATCTCGGCAGTTTAGGACATCGCACAAGATTTGCATCGATACAGAAAACATTTAATCACTGGATAGGTTTTTTCGTTTATTGAAATGTGGTTTGTCAGCTGAATGGGCGGAATGTTTTTTAGAGAAGATATGCAATGTGTTTTTTAGCACAATTCACACAACGCAGTAATTCAGGAGAAAAAAAGTCTCCTAAATGCTTCATGTGAAACTGCAGTCTTCCTACCTTTTACTATTGTTTGAATTAATTTTGATTAATATGCGCAAGGGAGAGAGAGCAAGACATTTGCTGGGCTCTCTAGTCAGTGGAAAACAAGCGGGTTCTGAGAAGGGTCGCAAGTTAAACCAACTTTGAACCAGTTCTGAACCCGTTCTTTTTTTTTGGTGGAAAAGGGGTAATTGTGTTGCATGTGTTTCCAATTCAAGCTCTTACTATCAGACCTGTGACCTCCTCCTGTGACAGATGAGACCATCTTGTACCTGCTGGTAATATTATCACCCATACACTCTAAAAAATGATGGGTTAAAAATAACCCAACTTGGTTTATTTTATAACCCAACCGCTGGATCAATATTGCACCAGCCCAACAGTAGTTAATTTGACCCAGCAAGATGGGTCGGTCATTTTTAACCCAACAGATGAGTTGTTCATTTCTACTCAAATGCTGGGTCAAATTAAATAAAATTCTGGGTTGATTTAACTACAAATTTGTTATATAGCGTACCCAAATGCTGGGTCAAATTAATTACAATTCTGGGTTGATTCAACTACATATTTGTTATATAGTGTACCCAAATGCTGGGTCAAATTAACCCATATGCCAGACTAATTCTAGCACATTACAGTACAATTGAAGAAAATAAAAGGCAATTGACTACTCATAACTATAAAACAGTTACACTACAAATCTAGAACAGAATACATGCTAGATGTATGCATAGATTATGCAATAAACACTTAAACAATACAAAAACAAAACAACAATGGAGTCTTTGAAAAATTATTTTATTACTTTAATATCAACAATATTAGTGGAACTGCAGTTAATATCACTGAAGTAGGAAAACATTCAATTATGAATGAACTGGCTGAACATTTAACAGGCCAACAGTCAACGGGAGCCATTAGCTCTACTTGCAAGCAAGTATTCTGGTATCTTCCCAAAGAAACTATTAAAGGGATAGTTCACTTTGAATTTAATTTTTGATATGTTTTATCTTACCTCAAGGGCATCCAAGATGTAGGTGTCTTTGTTTCCACAGTATTTTCAATTTTGATATCTTTCGGTCAAACCATTGTTGTCAATCAGTCATATAATGGAGGATTAGGGGGTCCTCCCTCAGTTCATGTCAAAGAGCATGCACAGAGAAGTCCAAATTAAACATGATTGAATGACTCGTAAATGTAAGTACGCAGTGAAGGCCTAAGGCACGAAACGAGTGGTTTGTGTGAGAAAACGAACAGTATTTATATCGTTTTTACCTCGTGTAACTCAGCCATTGGCAACTGATCTGACGGCAGGGGCGCTTCAGTCTGTGCATGCGCCAGAAGTGATCGCTTGCGTGTGTACGTCACTCATTGTTTACACAGAGATTTCGGGAGTTTAACCTTTCACTAAACATTTAGATATATCGAAATCTTCTTCCATTGCGATTTCCTGTATATGTTTAGATCTTCACAGTGAAAGGTAAAACTTCCGAAACTCTGTGTCAACAATGAGTGACGTCACTTCCGGCGCATACACAGACTGAAACGCCTCTGCCGTCAGATCAGTTGTCAATGGCTGAGTTACACGAGGTAAAAAACTATATAAATACTGTTCGTTTTCTCACACAAACCGCTCGTTTATTGTCTTAGGCCATCAATGTGTACTTACATTTACGAGTCATTAAATCATGTTTAATTTTGACTTCTCTGTGCATGCTCTTTGAGGTGAACCGAGGGAGGACCCCCTAAACCTCCAGTGTATGACTGATAGACAACAACGCCAACGGTTTAACCGAAAAAACAAAATTGAAAATACTGTGGAAACAAAGAGACCTACATCTTGGATGCCCTTGAGGTAAGCTAAAACATATCGACAATTTATTTCAAAGTAAACTATCCCTTTTAATATTTAGAAATAATAACTGTGTGTGCCTCTAATGTTGATCTTACAAGTCCTCTAATTTTTTGAAGAACTTCAGCCCAGGGCCAGCTCTTGGGATCAACTGTTGATGGTAGCCTCTTCTAAAAGAAGAAAACTCTCCTCATCAGTCCCCTCCTCTAAAAGACAAAAAAAATACAAAACACAAAGAAATCTGTTTTTACAACTGACGTACAAAACTAAAATATATAGGTAATTAAATGGAAGATACATGCATATTCCATCATTTGTTATTACAAAATAGAATAAATCACTGAAAGTCTACAAAAGACATGTGCCCTATTCATCTATTGGAGTCACTTTGACACATTACATGGAAGCTATTGAAAAAAAAAGAGAAAATTATATTTCATAAGAATTAATGTCTGAAAAGGGCTTGAGTAGCAATGCAGACTTGATATGCTGTGGATGTGAAAACAAATATTTCTTACCTTGAAATCTTTCAACAAGGTCTGTCAGCTGCCACTCTGTTGTGTCAATGACAAAGCTGACCTGATCTGAAACAAACACAAAATGAGGTTAAAGAAATATACAATTACTATTGTATTAACTATTCAGATGTCACCATGCAAATGCAATGCAGACTAGCAGCAGAATGTAATCCAATGTGAAGATAACAGCCAAAATATAGAGAGACCCTCTCTCCCTATACAATTCAAATTACATGTATTTTACATTCAGACATTTTATGTTACTTCAATGTTTTTACATACTTTAATAAGTCTAACACTGTGTTATACCTTCGCATTTCACATTAAAAGCTTTGAGGGCAAAAAAGCGCGCTCATTTATATCCAGTTAACTTAAAATAATGTAAGTTAGCCTGGTAGCCAGGCCGCCATTTTATATAAGAAATGTTTTCTTATCTATCGCGGGTCACCATATTACTTAAATAAATGCACATACATGCATTTAGTCTGGCATATCAGGTTATTTCACTGTTTATACATACTTTAATCAGTCTAACACTGTGTTCACATTAAATGCTCCAGGGAAAAAATAGCGCGCTCAAAATAGCTAGCAGCTGAGCTAGTGCTTCAATGATAACGGCTCAATGGCTAACGCTAGCCAAACAAGCCAGACAAACTAGCCTCGACAATATAAAGATATTACTTTAGAAAGGTAACGTTAAAGTAGACTCACTGTATTCCGGACACTAAGTTAGACCGTTTACCGCAATTTCTATAAATAAACACTTCACGGCCATTGCATCAATACGTGTCATCTTTGCCTCACCCTCTTCCGACCAACCCAGCTTATAACTTAGTTGTTAAAATATATGTCTTATATATTAGAAATGACATAGAGAGTACTCTACCTTAGTTTATTTCCCTCGCTCGATGAAAAGTGAAGTTCTCTTTGAAGATCGCTCGGTGTGTGGTGGATCCGGGTGTGTGGTGGACTCTTCTTGTGATGATGTGATGACGCTCGAAGCACAAACAACCCACGTGCTGGGTCAACGGTGTATGTTGGGTAGATGGGTTATTTTTTCCAACTCATGTGTTGAGTCAAAATCCATATACATAACCCATAATGGGTCAAACATTTCATAACCCAGCGGTTGGGTTGGTTAAATAACCCAGCATTTTTTAGAGTGTAGGTAAAGATATTCCTTCCACTTTGTCAAAGCCACAATTTTGTGCTGGCGGTATGGAAAAAGTCTTCTCACTCAGTAAAAGTACTGTAAAAGTCTTCTCACTCAGTCCTGATGTTTGTGTGTGGTTTCCATCTAACTAATAAAATCATATTTCTACTTTCCAATGGACAATGTCACCAATGAGGGATCAAAGCATGGCTTTTTCCAGTATCCAGGGGCCAATGAGCAAGGTGAAAGCACACAGAATGCGATAAAAAAAAAACTAAATGAAATAAATAAAATAATTTTGGTTACACAGGAAGTATTAATTTTGCTCAGCTAATCTTAGCCTTTGAAGTTCTGCAAGAGCTTTTCCATCAACAGAATAGTTCACACACAAAGTTCACACTCTCATGTTGTGTTAAACCCTTGTGACTGGGTTTTTTTTGTGATGAACTGAACAAAATGTTTCACATAAAGAAAGTCTTAAAGGGTAAATATCATGCTTTTAAATAATTCATTTTTACATATAAATCATACCGTTGTGGTCTATATAAAACATAACTGCAATGCTTGGGTCTGAATTCCTCATTATTATAGCTCCACAAGCCCCTTTTCTACCCCTTTTCTGATGTGCGTCTTTGAGCGACCCGTTTCAAAGCGGCCCCTTTAAATAAAAAGGAGATGCGTCATACCCTGCCCGCTCTCCAGGTCGATGAGTTCACGGTCGGTTCAACTCCCCCGTTCGGCCATTATTGTAGTTTGATTAGAGATATACGATTATATACGATACCTTCAAAGAACATTTTTATTCACGCGTTAATAAAATGTCAACAACGGAAGACTTGTCCATCAAGCCTTACATATTCGAGCCAGAGCGAGCGAGTTGATAAAGACGACGACGAACCTGCAGAACAACCTCTTCATATGGATGTATTGGTATGTGAGCTAACTGTTTTGTGTTATTAGTGAAAGTCGACTATTTCTCTTGTTAAAACAAGCACACTGACAAGATAAATGACTACGGTCTAATCTTACCACGAAAAAAATCTGTATTGATAATATGATGCGTTTAGAAAAGCATCAGAAAACATAGCAGCTAAATGACCATTGATGAAACTCAAGAACAATAATACTGCAGACGTGTAACGTGACCATGACCACCATGTGTTTTAAGAAAGTGAAGTACTTTATTTTTATTAAGGATATTATACAGCTAATCGAAATGCTCTGTTCGTCGTCTCCAAAGATAGAAGGAATTTACCTCTCATTCAGACGATGTCGATCGGCAAACCCTTCTTTATACTGGCGGAGGTTGTTCAAGTGGGAATCCTTGAAGTGATTCAGGTCACTACATCCAACAACCGAACATTTTGACTTGAGCTCTCGTAACCTCTGCATCATTGAACTCGGACTACAAAATCGGAGCGAGAAATAATAATGGCGGATTGCTCGAAGTGTTGGGCCGGTAGTCAATGTCCTTATTTGGCAGTTCCGCTGCAAATACGGTGACGTGATAGTTCAAAAAACGTCATAGAGAACAGAAAAATCTGAGCAGGTTGAAAAATATGACCAAAACAGAATAAAAAGATATAAACGAAGCACCTGAAGAGAATAATTTCATTTCTTCTGTACATAAAGAGATTAGCAATCTTCAGTCTAGCTCACTAATTATCAATTACGTGTCATAAAAACGTAATTACAAAGCCTAGCAATCTGTTGAGTTACAGACAGCAGTCAATAAGCCAATAGCAACATTACCGAATTGTGTTTGAATTGAGAAAGTACAGCCAGTGAAATACAAAACCACCATGCACTTCTATTTTTGAGTTTATACTTCCTGCATAGTGAAAATCCTACATGTGTACGTCTAAATCTGGTAACTGAAGCTGCTTTAAACAGAGTGCTTTGGTACTGTTGAGATGATTGAAGTCATTGGGAATGTGCTTAAATCCAGCAAGTCCTGACATATGCTAAGTACGCTGTGTTGTCCTACCACTTGCAATCCTAACGTTGGTTACATTGAAAAACAGCTGCCATCTTTATTTAATACTTGGTCTGTTTGCTGAGCAAACTAACAGGTGTACTTTTTATTCAAATCTCTCCCTTTGTCTGAATGCAAACTGTCAGCATTTTGCAAACAAAAACATAATCTCACATGTAATAGCTTTGAAATTGCATGTAAATATTTGCAGTATCTGCTTTTGTTCCCTGCCTTTAACAGCATGTTTGCCACAATATCAAATGCATGACTGAGTTCTGCAGCTGCTTTGAAGAGAGAGTTTTCCCAATGTACTGTACCACTGCATGACTGCTTTTGATCATGGCACAAAATCGTATAAAACAAGGTTTTGTCCTTTGGCAGATTCTGGGATGAAATTTTGATGCAAAGTTGACATGAATAGTAATTTAGAGCTCAGACAATGAAAGCTCTGATGGGTAAAGTGAAGTTAAGTAAAGTTTAAGTGTTTAATGGTTAAGAATAAAATCTGAGGTCTGAATTTTTTTTGGCTGATGTAATAATGGACTGGCACATGTCTGACTGGGGTGAATTTTATCATCTTCACCACCCCCTTTGTCCTTTCCTCTGTCCTTTGAGCAAGCACAATCTGGAACAATAGTATTAATCACTTCTGAGGTGAAGCACTCTTATAGAGTATACTAATATATAAGAACTGTATATACTAATATATAAGAACACTTAAGAGTATAAGAAGAATATGTACTATAATAATCATTCAATGAAGAGGTGTGATGCAGTGGATCCAAAGAAAAGGTGTCATGCAATGCATGATGGACAACATGGCAAGTCACTGAAAGGCAGATCACTTTAGGCTAAGGCTAAAAATTTGTAAATGGCCTCAATTTTCTGGCCTTCGCAGTGGGGTTGTCATGATACTGGAATTTCTGACATTGACAATCTGACATTGGAAAAAAAAAATAATTAAAACAAATAATAAAAAAGTTGAATAACCCTGAGGGGATTTTATACAGAAAATAATTATTTGATCCCTTACTGATTTTGTAAATTTGCCCACTTACAAAGAAATTAAGCGTCTTTGACTGAAATAACCACTCGTTACAACCGAGGTATGCAGCAAAGCATTTGTGAAGCCACAACACGCACAACCTTGAGGCGGATGGGCTACAACAGTTGATGACCCCACCAGGTACCACTCATCTCCACTACAAATAGGAAAAAAGATGCTACAATTTGCAAGAGCTCACCAAAATTGGACAGTTGAAGACTGGACAAATGTTGCCTGGTCTGAGTCTCGATTTCTGTGGAGACGTTCAGAGTCAGAATTTGGCGTAAACCGAATGAGAACATGGATCCATCATGCCTTGTTTCCACTGTGCAGGCTAGTGGTGGCGGTGTAATGGTGTGGGGGATGTTTTCTTGGCACACTTTAGGCCCCTTAATGCCAATTGGGCATCATTTAAATGCCACGGCCTTCCTGAGCATCGTTTCTGACCATGACCATCCCTTTATGGCCATCATGTACCCATCCTCTGATGGATACTTACAGCAGGATAATGCACCGTGTCACAAAGCTCGAATCATTTCAAATTGGTTTCTTGAACATGACAATGAGTTCACTGTACTAAAATGGTCCCCACAGTCACCAGATCTAAATGCAATAGAACATCTTTGGGATGTGGTGGAACGGGAGCTTCATGCTGTGGATCTGTATCCCACAAATCTCCATCAACTGCAAGATGCTATCCTATCAATTTGGGCTAACATTTCTAAAGAATGCTTTCAGCACCTTGATGAATCAATACCACGTAGAATTAAAGGGGTCATGAACTGGCTTTTTAAATTTTATTATATTGTTGTCTGAGGTGAACTTACGACGTTCACTTGGTTTTTGCATTCAAAAACATAAAAAGGAATAACTAATAAGCTATTTTCTACCCTAGTTTTGAGCCCAGCTCAGAAACGCTTGGTTTTTATGGGTGTCTCGCACTGAAGACTTGGAAGTAAACGCCCACTGCTATGAGTGGAGAACAGTTTTGCATATTATAATGAGTTTCAACTCACCTCGTCGGTGTACGTGGGGAAAATTGTTTTGAAAATGTCCAATGTTGTAAAACGGCAACCTACCAGAATGATTCGCCCATACATGTTCGACCCAGAGTCCGTGTGTTGCACCATTCCGGTCAGATCCAATATAGACGGCACAGCACCGTTCTTTAATCTTAATCAGTCAGCAAAGCCTGTTTACAAAACAATCCTCAGTGAAATGAAGTGAACAGACGGTTTTACCCTCATCAGCTAGAACGTCATGAAAAATAAAGTTTTGCATTCTTATTGGATTCCAGAGGAAGCTTTTGCAGCGACTATCATCTTCCACAACCAGGCACTGCACAATATTTTGTATTGCTCGGTAGCTCGAACCGGTTTGTCATCACGAGGTAGGCATCAGTGTTATTTAGCAATGCGTGTAATGCGCGAGCCGGTGGGTGGGGCTAAACCGGTCGTGTTGAAGTAGGTGTTGATCTTCTTCTGCGGGGGTGGTGTTTTATCCTCTTTGACGTCATAGTTCCCCACTTTGAAAAACGAGTCGTTTGCAGAGGCTGGTGTCAATAGGAGCTTTTATTGGACTAACAAGGACGTTTTCAGTTCTGAAACTTACAGGATATTCTTATAATATGATGATCTCTTAGGGGCTGTTTACACCTGGCCACTTCATGCGTTTTCTCAGATCGGATAGCTATCCGATTGTGAAAAGACCAGGTGTAAATGCCCCCCGAAACGCATTCGAGACGGATTTGAATCCGATCGCTCAAACCACTTCAGGAGGTGGTCTGG